ATTAATTGAAGAATTAAATACTGAATATCATCCTCAAGAATGGAGACTCATCTAAAGTTAGTCTGAAAGCTGTACGTTTGCACAATGTGAACACCAAACCATCGATTCCTGTTGCTCATGCTGTGAAACTTATTAAAGCATGCAGATTATGCATTCATAAATGCAATTTTCAATGAATAAATAACGTTATTTAAGAAAAAGTTATTTTCTAGATATATAAGAATATTTTGAAAAAAAATCTATCGTAACCCTAAAATTAGAGGCGATCATATTACATATTTTAAGACCTTTTATACTACATATCCATCCAAAAACGCTCGAAGTCAAAATTTAGCTTTAGCTCAAACATTATATGAATATAGAGCTTGAGAAGAATTTGTGGGAACCATAAAAGTAAAATATGTGAATCCTCATTTTTGTTGTTTTATGATATATATCAAACTTGGGTTTAATGTCTTGTCCTTTACTCACCATATGTATGGTGTTTGGATAACATGTGACATACCATCACATTCAGCAAACTAACTGATCATTGATTGTTGTTGTTTTTTCCTCACCAAAACGAGAATTTCAGCAAATTTACATTTTGATGAGGAATATAAATTCATAAAGAATCAAAACATACTTGTTGACGTAGGTGGAGCCGGAAATGTCTTAATGGATAACGTGCTGAACTGAGCATCCTAGATCCATGGTTTGCATCTCGTTTCCAAAAATAAAGAAAAATATGGTCAGTACTAGAAAGTTGCAAGTGCGTTATAAGCTTTTGATGGGTTCTGTTGATTGACTGCTTTCCCTCCAGTCTGTCAGTTCAAAATTAGGGACAGTCCTTATGAAGCTGGGCGCGAATACTTAGATAAACCATATCTTGAAGTAAGTAGTAAAACAGTGGCTGTTTAAATTGTGCTGATTTCCAAACGCGTGTAAGATAGATTTTACTCCTGTGAGCTTTCCATATATAACTCTACATCAGGTTCGAATCTAGGTACACAGTTTACGGATGCACGAGGCTTTATACTGGTGCACGTGAATCGAATGATGCAATTTGAATAGTACCAAATTGCTTTAGTTTGCTGTGTTTATGAGATATCACCTACTGATTGTGCTAAACTATAATTATATATATTTTAGCTCAAGCGTTTTTGGTGTATTTTAAAGGTTTTTGTGAGTTACTTCAACCCAACATACACTGTGGTCCTTATTGTTCAACTAGACCTTTAAGGAGAAGCAAGTCACACAGGGAAATAATATGCAGATCAGGACACTACTGATATTACACACATTATCAAGTAGGTTGCACGGGATTGGAAACTGTGTTACCTTTAAGTATAACAACGTGTTAGAAAGAATCGGAAGCAGCACTGGATGACACTCTCGTTCAGAGCTCAACTATGCGAAATGAACTTGGGAACGAGAGTGCCTGTATGAACAAGAGGAGGATAGTTTTGATGTTATGTTTCATTCATCATTGATGTGGCATGTTTTCAAGAATAAATCATAATTTACAACTAAAAAATAAGTCAGTAACTATTTCAGCTGAATACATACAAATTGAATTCATTTATTCATGCCACTAGCGCAAGGAATAGTATATATATATATATATATATAGTCAAATTTACGAGAGATAAAGAAAGGATTCGCTGACCGTGGTCGCTAGGTGCTCGCGTTGTAAACGTTCACTCCAGCATTCGTTACTGCATTTGACGTGCTTACATTTGGGGATTCCTTCCCTTAGAGTTATTGTGAAAGCTATTCTAAAACAGATTTGACATTTTTGACAATCATAATTTGCAAAAACATGTATGTTGAACTTTATTCTTCACATTCATACTACTAACAAAAAGAACACTTGCATCAACTGGTTTTTATTGCTGGACAAATATTTGTTTGTTGCATAAAATTTAGCTTATTAGTTAAAAGTACCAGACGAAATATCAGGTTATATTAATTTTTATTTTTCATTTAATGTTTAAAAGGAGCTCTGTACTAAATTATTAGAACATAATGTTAGTATTGGAGTATTTTTTATAATAACCCTCTCGCGTTTTATCCTGAAAACCGATACAAATTATACGAGTAGTACAAAATATTAAAGTATCAAGAAATTTTTTTAAAACCATCTCTCTTCATATATTTTTCTTATCTTCACTTACTTCAGTATAGTTACAAGGCTTAACTTAGAATGAATTAAAGTTTGAAATTCAACATTTTACTTCACTTATTTCAGTCTTGAAGCTTGTAATGGTTTGTTTACATAACAATGTTTCATGTCAGCTCTTATTTCTTAATTCTTCATCTAAATATTGAAATACATTGAGTGTGGAGAACAAGTGTGATCCCCTGAACGTATATTTGCATATGATTTAAGTATGAATTTCAGATGTTATTCAGACCTGTCACGAGCTATGTTTATAGACTGATTAATGGAAACTTCAGCGATTCATCTATTATCCAAGAAAGAGATTCTCTCGAATCAGCGAAAAGATCTGGAAATAAGAGAGACCACGCAGCTGGCTAAACAGACCTAAGTAGGCGGAGCGTCAGTTTTTCTAATAATGCAGTACTGGTGACGTCAATAATCTGACTTATAAAAGTAGCTTGAAAAGTGCAAGAGTAGAGAAACAGAGAGCAAAGTTAGAGGTCCAGATCAGCGAGCTTGCATCAAGTAACCTGCAGCTTGTTGTAAGTATACCAGCAATAAGTTAGTATTTCAGTAGCACAAACTGCTTTCATTACGTAATATTTCTTTATAATTAGCAAGAAGGGCTGAACATTGGCTCTTACACAATACCACTTCACCTTGAGAGATTATTGATTTCAAACTTTTCACTCTCCGTTATCTCTAACAAACTAGTAGAAACTTTCATTCTCCACTATCTTCTACAAACTAGTAGAAATTTTCACTCTCCGCTATCTTCTACAAACTAGTACAACCTTTCACTCTCCGCTTTCTTCTATAAACTAGTTAAAACTTCCACTCTACGTTTTCGTTTACAAACTAGTAGAAATTTTCACTCTCTGCTATCTTCTACAAACTAGTACAACCTTTCACTCTCCGCTTTCTTCTATAAACTAGTAGAAACTTCCACTCTACGTTTTCGTTTACAAACTAGTAGAAACTTTTCACTCTCCGCTGTCTTCTACAAACTAGTAAAAAGTTGTACTAGTTTGGAGAAGAAAGCGAAGAGTGAAAGTGTCTACTAGTTTGTAAACGAAAACGTACAGTGAAAGTTTCCACTCTCCGCTACCTTCTGCAAACTAGAGTTCTTTTATTTTGTTTCTATAGGTGCAGCAGAACTTTATAGCTGTAATTAATGGCTAAGGTACTTCAGTATCCACATTTCAACCGTTCAGTCCACGATACCATTTTGAAACATTTTAGTATAAAACATATCTAACTAGTTTCTACATTCTCAGGCAAGACTGTGCAGTCTTCAATTATTGTATTAGACCCGTATTTTAGCTTCTAGCCTAAGTTTAAATGTAGAACATTAGTCCCGTCACTTTTCACTAATAAGGCATTCCAAGAATTAATATATAAAATATTGTTATTTAAAAATTCTAGCAATTTATTATACCGTATACATCAACCTTCTTTTAAGTCCAATAATGACTTATATATCATTTTTAAAAGTCTTTGATCATCATGTGTTAGTTAGGAACAGTTTTCTTATTATCATTACTCAAAAAGTTCCGTGAACAAAAAAAAATTAAAATATTTATTATGAACAGACGGAGAATGAATACGTTTGTACTTTATGTTAACGCTTATGATTCAATTGGTATTTATCCCCCTTCTTTTAGTATATTTTGCGCGAAGTAAATAACCGATTGCATTGTAAAAACATTTTGTCTAAAATGATATATTTCTATTTATCGCCAAAGCTACAGCTACACATACCTTATTCTAAGAACGAAATCAAATCAATTTTATTATTGTTTGTTTGAATTTCGCATAAAGCTAGTCGAGGGCTATCTGCACTAGCCGTCCATAATTTTGAAGTAATAGACTAGAGGGAAAGCAATTAGTCAGCACCGCCAACTCTTGGGCTACTCTTTAACAACGAAAAGTGGGATTGGTCGTCACATGATAACGCTCCCACGGCTGAAAGAGCGAACTTTCGCGGAGGGGGGATACAAACCCCGCAGTTTGCGAGTTCAGCGCTCTAACCATCGAGCCATGGCAGGCCTCACACTGTCATTGTGTTTTGTTGTTGTTGTTGTTCTTTTACTTACAAAAGCTGTATATATCGCTAAGATGTTTATATTTCAAATCTCTATTTCGATTAAGAAATATTCATTCTTCCGCAGATAGAAGAAACGTTAAGAAAAAAATGTTGCGTACAACATCTTCCATTGTTACCTTGGTGATTTTGGTTACTATCGTAACCTTCCAGCCTTCGGAGAGTTTTGGTCGAGGACCGTTTCGGAGCTTGGCACTTGTAAAAAAACTTGCTTCCAGCTCACCTTATAACAATGGTCTTCAACTGATGTCATCAGATCCTTTGTACAGTTTCGATCACACTCCTCCTTTTGAATGGAGAGTAGCACGCAACCCATTCCATGACTCTCTGAACTACCTGGCTTACCTGGTGAAGAAGAAGGCAACAGAGATCGAAGACGAGAACCAGGAAACCGAACAAGAACCTAAAAGTGACGGAAACCGCAAGTTTCAGACCCAAGGCTGGAGACGGTAGACGAACCAAGTGGATCCATTTTTTTTTCGTTCAAAAGTACTCTCTAAAAACTTATGGGCAATTCTTTCCCAACTCTGGAGCAAAAGTAAATCTTCAAAATAATGGATAAAATCATTATTTTTTATAATTCTGTAATAACTGTACATTACTCTCTTTTTTTTCTAAACGAATTCGTAACACAAATATCAAATGTAATAGCTTTTTCTTTTTCTTTTTTTTCTGCTTAATATTTCATAAGTTCGTATTTGAACTAATGTTGGGTAAAAATTGCCCAGATTTTGTTGTGGGATATTGGTAACGTCAATGAATTTTATAAATAACATGTAGTTCTCAAATATAGTATTGCAAATTAATTCGGTACGTGAATTGATAATAAACTAAATTAAGCTTCTAAATGCAGAAGAGATATTAAAATATGCTTCCTGTTACTGTATTTTTCATTTGGAAAATGTTTCCTTCCAATAAAGTTTGATGTTTATGCTCAAATGACTCAGAACTCAAGCTTTCCGTACAACTTCATTTGTGATTTAATTCTCCATAGAAACGCCAACTAACAAGTATATATATTTTAAAGAAAATAGCTCCAGGCCATCGACGTTTTGGAATGTATATTTTGATGGGTCGATTCACCACTGTGATGAAACAAGGAAACTACTTAAGGTATTTATCTGAAAAACGGTTCTTGATTAGGTTCAAAAATATTAAATTTATCATCATTAAATATAGGTTTGCAGGTTGAGATTATGGTATTAGTTTCAGGTGTGTTAAGTTATCTAAAAATGAGAGAGAGAGAGAGAGGTCGATAATATCTTAGGCAATGCCGTACAAACGATCAACGTATTCACCACCAATATATATGTTTAAGCCATTCTGTAGCATTTGATGTCTGATTTAAGTTTAATCAAGAGATATTCGGTTTTTAGTTCTATAAACGTATTAAAGAAACGCTTCTAATTCTCTAATATCTATAGTGGAAACAAGCGAGTAAACAAACTTTTTTTTGTCTTCTTAGTCTCACGTGGGACTGTTGGTCCTGGATTTTTGTTCTGCAAACGTTGCTGTCGTGATAACAATAACTAAGTGAACGCAAGCAACGTAACGTATATATATTTGATAGCCATTCCGACATTCATAAAGCACAACATAACTTGTACTTGATAACCTTTCCGACATTCATAAAGCACAACATAACTTGTACTTTATAACCTTTCCGACGCTCATAAAGCACAACATAACTTGTACTTGATAACCTTTCCGACATTCATAAAGCACAACATAACTTGTACTTGAAAGTACAAGTTATGTTGTGCTTTATGAATGTCGGAAAGGTTAGATAACCTTTCCGACATTCATAAAGCACAACATAACTTGTACTTGATAACCTTTCCAACATTCACAATGTGAAAGCCGCGAATTGAGTTTCGTAAAGAAATACGGGTAATTTTTGCAGTCAACTAGTTCTTCCGAATTTTAGCAGATTTCATTAGAAAAGGCTTTCTAATGAAAAGCATAATAACCCGATTAAAGCAAGCTATCGAAATAAAACAGAACTAAAAATTAACCCAGTAATCAATATAGCTAATATAATATACTGGTCTTAATAGGAGTACGGAACGTCAAAAAAAATCGCAATGATTAGAATGCATTGATTCTTCAGCTATATACTCTTGCCCTCATTGTTTACGATGTTTTCGGACATAATCCTAATAATATCTCCCGAAGTTGGGCCAACTTAGCAGATTTCGGTTTGGTCTGAATTACACGCTAAGTTAGCAATGCAAAATAACTGTCATTAATGAAAGATATATATGATGTATATGTTATTTCAAGAAATAACTCAAAGGAATTATATATTCTTTAATTTGCTTATTTCCTAATGTTGTTTGAAAACACCTAAGTAATTCGTCCAACTTCTGCATCGTTACCCTAGTGTTGTTTTTTTTTTTATAAATAGTATAACGAATCTTTCTCTTGAACAAACATTTACTTAAACTTCCTTTGAAAAATCAATAAAACGACAAGTACAATTAAGAAAGGAAAACAGAAAATAAAATACTTCCATTAACCCTAACATGATATTCAGGCGCATATTTATTTGATTAGGTAACAAAATGTTGAGATTCGTATGTATAGCCCGCGCATTCATCTAAACATGAAAGAGACGAAGCGAACAACTACTAATGATGGCTCTAGTTTCTTTCTTATTGTATCAACTGTAATAGTACTTGCATCAAAATCCCATGCACCTATATTCGCAAGTGTCATGATCTGCCTACTGCTCGAGATATGAATGAGAAAATGTTAATACTTAGTTCAATGAACGAGAGAATTAATGAAGTGGTATATTTATATCTTTAGAAAACCATATGTAATACTACGATTTTAAACTACACTGAAACCTCAGCTAGTATCACCTGATGATGACAAAACCTTGTCGAAACGTTGTACATTTGCTGTCATGTTAAACTTATATTAAAGTTTTTCTTCATTACCCATTTAAGCCGTCTCCAGCCATTATTAGTATCAACTATTTTCAATTTGCTTTAACACTTTGTCGCAATTTTTGTATTTGTCTTATATATATATATATCTGTGTGTGTGTGTATGTGTGTGTAGATTATGATTAAATGATAGAAAATAGTACTTACAACCACACCCCTCGAAAAACAAGCTCAACAGTTTGAATGCATCGATATGGACTTAACTCTGGGTCATTTCCGAATCAAAGTCTTAGATGCGACAAGAAACTAAGAAGACATTCGACGAAGTTTTACTATGGGTATGATGCTGGTATGTGCTTTCTTGTTTCGACAAAGAATAGTCACAAAAACTGAATTCCTGGTGAATGTTTAGATGTTTTGCGTGTTCTTTTGTTGGTTATGATATATATATATATATTCGTTTACTATATGTGACACTTACTTCGTCTCTCACCAGTACTGACCATTGTAATTTTAACCTGCAAATCTTTTAATAACATATTGTTATATATGTTTGGGCAAACATGTTTTACACATCAGCTTCTCTTCTTTCTTTGCACATGCTCCTCATCTTCATCGTAATTAGGTAGTCTTCCCCCGAAACAAACGTAATCCATAATTACTGATAAAGTTTCTTATAAAGTATCAACTATATATTATTCACCGTTATGAAAAGGAATAAAAACAATTAATGTTTGGTATATCAAAAAAGCTCCCAGGCCTAAAATATATATATATGTCCAAATCCTACGTCAGTTCCCAGGATTCGTGACTAAGCTGTTATTGTGCAATAATGGCCCCATTGCATGCAACTCCAATTCAGAATGGATAAGAATATATAGTCAGTATTACGTCAAAAGAAATAGTTATAGTAGGTCATGTGATTGGTTGTTTTAGCCCTTAGTACATCAGGGCTTTTATAGTGACTCGACAGTTTCCATCATGTACCGTATATTGTATCATCGTAATGTACGTATATTTTTCACAAGGCAACGTACAGTAAGTTTCAGATACGTTTTTAGTTCTTTAACCTCATCACACTGGAAGTTTACAGTGTTTGCAGGCGAAACCAATACGACTTAAAATTACTTATTTACAATATTTAATTGTACTCAGATAACGATTATATTTTAATAAGGTAATATCTTACTATGCCATTTTATAGATTGTGCATGTTGACGATTTCAGGTATTTCGTGAAAGTCATTAATCATATATGTAAATGAAACACTTATAAAATAAATATTTTTTTTTATATTTCCAGAAAAAATTAGTTCTGAAACTTTCCCTCCCCTTTACCGAATACACTTAAGCATTTTCTTACATGGAACTCCCCCCCCCCCCCCGGTGACTCTACTAGCAGCTAGCAAGCCTAGAAAGCCAAAATTCAGAGCTCGGTCCACAGCACGGATAACTCATGGTGCAAATTTGCGGTTAAACTAAAAACAAAACAATAAAAAATATTTTGTGTAATATTTTATTGCATAATTTATTGTATTGAGGTTTTAACTGAACCACTTTTAATATTTTGAAAAATAGCCGGTTTCTGAAACAATATATGCCATTTCTAACTTGTTTCTGTATTGCATAAATGTTGCCTAGCCGGTTACTACTGGTGCAAGTTGTTGGTTGACAAACCTGTGTGGTGCTGGCTCACTCTCAGTATTGCTGCGTAATTAGTAGAAGTATAGGCTATAACATTGCCCCATTACGTAACCAACACTTGGAATTATTTAACTCAACTTGCTCTTAGTTTCTCAGAAGTGTAAGCTTTGTCGCCACTAGCACTCGGTTGTCTACACTTGAGGAAGCATCCGGGACTTGCTTCGGGACGGGCGAGTGAATCGATCGTCTGCAGTGATGGCTGAGATTAAGGAACGCCAATTTTCAAAACCAGTACGAAAAACCAAATTGGAGAGTCTTCGAGACTTCATATGGAATTCCGAAACTGGGGAATGTTTAGGAAGAACACTGGGAAGTTGGGGTAAGCCAGACCAATATATATAACGATCCATTTATTACACTTTACATGGATAATAGCATATTCAGAACTTCTCTTTCTTTGATCTCTTATGTCTGATGTCACTTACTGAGAGTTACTGTAGTAAATTGTATGTTTCTTTTCTTACAGAAAAATAACCTACTGAATACTAATTTATTATCGTGTAATAATCTATATATATGGTAGGTTGTTCTGAATATGTAAACATTTTGTTTGGAATTGTACGTATATATTTTTAACCCTTGAAGTAACCAAACCGTTAATTTTTGAACTGATGTTATACTTATTTATCTCAAAATTATTGGAACCCCTTTCATTGTGTCTGAAATCAGTTCGTTAATGTACGTGACAAATCTGTTTATCATTATCAGACATTTAATTCTAAATTTTTATGTTGAAAAACGAATACACGCTGGACTGTTCTGCACATGCACACTTGTTAAAATATTTTGTTGGACTCTCGTGAGCAAGAATATAATAGTACTGTATCTTTCCTTCAACAATTCGTTTAAAACATTAAGATGTATTCTTTGCACGTATATATTATTGTAAAAAAAAAGACATCATAATTGAAATATACTGCACTTCGATCCAGAGCTGACGATAGCTTAACTGGCGCCCCAAGCAAGAATTAAGGCTATGTTCCCCTACTCACACTGGAGTCTCCGAGAATTTGACGCCCTTGGCTGGTACCTTTGTTTCTATCCTTATACCAGATTTGTTTCAGTTTTTGCAGTATAAAGCTAACACTCAGTCAGTGATGACTCGCCCTGATGGGAAGGTAACGAAAAGCGTGTTTTTAAGATTTTTTTTCTAAGATTCTCAACTTCTAAGAGAGTCCACAAATGGAAGGTCATCCATGCAGCAAGAGTTATGATCTTCCTACGTATGAGTGAACAGGCTCGTGAAATGACAGAAAAAAAGCAACTTTCACATGAGCTTAAAACACTCAGTATAGTAGTAATACTTGTCTTAAAAAGTACGATTTTACAAACGTAAAACAAAATTAAACATGACGTATTGATCAATGTGGTTGTGGGTTATGTTTTTATTAACTTGTACGTTTGTATTGTTTTGGTTTTTAATGTCTTAGTAATCATGACTTAGTAACCAGACTTTTCCTGAAAGTTCTGGAAACCATTGGAACGATATAAACCCAGTGATAGAGGTGTCTAGATTACATCGTTTATTGATTATTGAGTGAGTTAGTTCAGTTCTCTAAATTTTAAGTTTGTGTTTTCAACATGAAGTAATAGAGATAAGAGAAGTACGGTACATGCGAGAAAATTAGCAAGTTATTGGAATTTATATTGAGACGTCATTATTTATTTGTGAACTTAGGCCTACAGTTAGTTACGCGGAATTTGTAAAAGATGTAAAACCTGTAGTCGAAGAAAAAATGCTTTCATCACCACTAAGTGGACCGAACTTTGCATTCGTGTTTTTATTAAATAATCCAGAAGAAACTGTCCAACAACAAGAGCCATTACAACATTATTTTTAAGCTGAATATAGAAAATAGTACAATAAAATGAACGTACAAAATATTCAATTGCAAGTTTTTATTTTTTTAGTTTATTAATCAAATGATGCTTTTGTTGTAAAATAGTTTGATCTCGAGTAAACAAAAACTGTCTTGAAGTAAATTTAAAGGAATAAAACTGTTAGATCTAAAGCATTTAAAGTCATTCAAGCATAAGATCAAATGCAAACAAATCAGTTATTAGAATTAGTAAAACCTAACGTAAAATGAAAAAAATATATATAATTTATCGAGAGTTAGCAATATGCTTTCGGATAAGTAGTTAATATTGTTAAAAACTTAATCTTACAAAATTATTTTATTTGTTTGTTTGTTTTTTATTCAGTTATTGAAGCTTTATAGTAAGTAGTGTCTAGAGTATTAAATGATGAAAACATAATAATATAATAACGTATCGAATATAATAACGTGTCGAATTTAAATTTACAAAATAGTGTGTGTGAAACTGTTTACTCAAACATAACAGAAAAAACTTTAGTTTAATCTCAAAGTTATAGTTCTTCAACTCTTTAATGTTTGGACACTCAAATGAAGGGAAGAATTCATATTAATATAACTTGGAGATTTGCTTTATGTCGCTGAGTGACGTTAGTGGTATATGTAAGAAAGCCTTCATTTACATGATTTTGGGGAGAACGTTTTACAATATTTTAATAAATTATAGAGAAGACTATATAATCTATTTGTTTTAAAACTAAACCAGTACATGTTTTTGTACAGAAAACCAATTGATAGCTATAATACATACGAGACTGGACATTCTAAATAGGAAACTGTCCACTCATGACGTAATCTTAAAACTAAAAATGTTGAACCAAAGCTATACCAAAATCAAAAATTTCAGTTGAGACTAACTTTTTCTCTTACGGTCATTTTATTATTGTGTTAATAAAGTTGTTTATAGAAAAGTGTTAAATTCAGAAACCCCACGCCATCGCTTGTAGCAAAAGTAATAAAAGTTTTTCAAAATTGAAAGAAACAGAAAGAAGAAAAATTTGTTGATTTTTATTATTGTTCTAAGGATCATCCGGGCTATATGTGTTCTGCCCACCGTGGTTATCGAAACCCGATTTTTAGCGTTACAAGGTTACAAGCTAACAGACTTAACGCTGAACCACTGGGGGGGGGGGGGCTTTTCAGGGGACTTCATCAATTTTCAACATAGAAGTGCAAGACGAGAGATTCACAATAGGTTCCATGCTTGGCTGCTCTGCTGAAAGGTTTTTAATTTCAAATATAATCTATTAACTTACAATGCTAAAATTCGGGGTTCGATTTTCTGCAGTGGATACAAACACACAAAAAATTTCAAATGTGGACGAATCACATTTAATATTCATTCCCACAATACAGTCAGAGTAACTTTAATAAATTCAGAAATCTTCCAAATTAAGAAAAAACTACATCTACCTTCTTGTTCATCAGGAACCTTTTGGACATGTTCATTTGGAACAGTTAGCTTCCAAACTATGACGCCCCACACCTTAATGTTTCTTTTAAAAGACATTTTTGAATATATGTTATGCATATACTTTGTATTGTCCTTTTCATACGTATAAACTTCCATATAGTCATTTGATAAATACTTTATGCCAAACAAAACAAAAAGCATTCAATAGTAGAAAGAAAAAAAAAGACCGCGGAACTGGGAAGTTTGAATTCTTGGTAAATTATGGCTTCTGTTCAGATATTTTCATGAAAGCCTTATCACGTTGATAATAACTAATTTATTGGAGCATATTGTAATTGACTCCATATGATATGAAATTTTACTAATTGTAGGTTCAACCTATCTCCATTTTTTCACGAGGCCTTCTCTTCAAAGACCATGGAAACTGTCGAATCCAGCCATGCTCGAAAAATACATACAATTGCCATTTGGTCATTTTTTGTATCTTAGAAAACGTTTATATGCTATAAATAATATTGATGGTCACATTGATGGTGAAATGTACTTTATAAGAACCATTTTCCAGGTCCCATGGTTTCTGGTAACTACCTCTACTATCACTGTCTCGCTCATGCTGATGCCTTGATTATGTACCAATGTCCGACATCGCAGTTTCCGTTGTAACAAGTTTAGGCATAGAACGGTGAGATCCATAATCCCTCCACTGTAAGTGGACATAAGTTTCCAAGACCACGTTTAAGTAGACAAAAAACACAAAAATCAGTTGGAGTTGCATTGAGGGACAAAAATGTGGTCGAATAAGATTATTGATTCCATTTCCTTCGGCCTTCTTTATTGGAGAAGCAGTCGCTGCTTTCAAGGTGTGGCTGGAAGCTTGTTAACCTTTTTCTTTAAAACCTTTGCCAATTTCAAATCCTTGTTTATTATCTCACTGAAATGTGCCCAGTTTCATCTAAGAATCATTTTAAATCAGAGGGTTCTGTTTTCTGACCATATCCTTCACTTCGAAGATGATGGTGTTATGTCAGGTTAACTTGGATCAGGGTTTTGGAACACACTGTTCGCCTAACTCTCAGTGTTTTCGTTTCCATGGAGAACACTGAAAACCCCTTTCTACGAGATGTTGTGTCCTTTGGCTCTATATCATTAAATAATCCTGCTGAATGAATATTTCTCATCTTATTTTCTTTATATCACGTCAATCATAGCAGCATTGTGCTGTAGAGTGATGGAGAACATTCTGTGAACAAAACACATAGGGTTCAGTACTTTATATTGAAACGATTTTGGGAAGGGTATGTAACACCCCTTTCCAACACAAAATATTTATATACTAGGATAATAAAGATGTGTTCAGATCGGGATTTTAGAATTTCCAAGACGAGGATATTCCTTGTACATAATGGCATTCGAAAAAGGAACATGTATCATCTTAAGAAACCAGAACCATCCAGAAAGAGACCTGTAGAAAGTCGTACCCAAGTTGTGGAAAGCAAAGTGCGGATCTTATATCAGGTGAGAATCCATGAGCACAAGTATCGGTACCAAAAGCCGTCCACGTGCCCCAGCCCAAAATAGTCAAGAAGGAGTTCTATCTGGAAAATCGACACAAGTCAGGTGTGCAGAAATTGCTTCCACAACATATCCGTTCAACTGTCGCATACTTCAAGCAGTTGGTGAATGAAACGAGTATTCACACTGTTACATACAAAGACATATGGTCAAGTTGCTAGATGTAGCACGTATGGATTTCTGTGCGATTGGACTGTTGAAACAAGGCGCTGGGAAACTATTGTTCTTGTACACTAGTTGGCTTATGGAAAGCAAGCAGAAAGCTGTGTTGTGCTTTTGACATGATAACCTTATGATAGAGCCTTTTGCACTGGAAACTACATTGCAGGGCTATTTTCAAGAAGCTCGGCCATCAGATAGAGCATGACCAAACTTGGCGACATGGACTGTAACAACGTGGTGAGGATACAGAATCGTTGTATTAATGGTTATGATAGTTTTAATTGAAAGTTGATTTAGCTGAATAATAAAATCGTTTCTCTAGCCTGGTTGGGCCCGGCATGGCCAGGTGGATAAGGCGCTCGACTCACAATCTGAGGGTCGCGGGTTCGAATCCGCATACCACCAAACATGCTCGCCCTTTCAGCCGTGGGGGCGTTATAATGTGACGGTCAATCCCACTATTCGTTGG